TAATACCCATTTGTTGAAATAACCAGCCAGTTAGAGGTAATATCCAAAAATATGTATCAAGCACCTGTGGAATGAATAGCTCTCTATATTGTATTATGTAAACAGGGACGTGTACCATGCCTTCTCCCCCACCCCCAACTTCTCAAGGAGGGTAATTGCTGGGTTAAAGAGCAGTAAAGGATGAAATAAAAGGAAGGAAGGGGACAATAAGGCTTTAGTTGTAAGAACCAATTGTTTATACACTGTTTTGTGAGGCACATTTGAAGAACTAACTCCTAAATATATCATCACTGTAATAAAGTTTGGCCTTGTACTGGGCTAAACTATATACTTGATTGTCAAAGCATTTTTGTTCTAAATAATACTAATGAATTAGAGAAAATCAGTATTTGGTTAGAATGAATGTTAATTCTTGGGGCTCACAGATAGCATATTACAACATAGTGCATGGTGCCTGGGTGCATGCATACAAATAATCCATCCAGATAGGACTACCAGGCTAGTGTGTGGCTTTAACTTTGCAACCTCTTCTGGACTCTGTGGATATATGTGTTTGGGTCAATTAATATAGTGTTGGACCTGACTTTAACATTAATTATATAATTGGGTTTTATACAAAGGGAGTTCTATTCAGCCTGACTCAAATCCTCCAATCCTCTAACAACTGATTTGCAAGCAACTACTGCTAACATGTAATCCAGGGCCGGAGAACTAACCCTGCTTTAAGGTTGACAGAGTTACAATCCAATGATTGTTAATCTCTTGTCAATGGAGGCAGAGGCGGTTAACTCTCTTTTGCTAGGTTTTGCCACGCTTGTCCCTCTGTCTTCCATTGTGGAATTTTGGGGGCATCCTGAATCTATACCACTTTGGATGAGGTAGCAAAAGGGCCACATGCCAGGCTCAGTAATCTAACCTGACCTTTGGCATTCCTCTGCCATCTGGAAATTTACACAAAAGTAAACAGATCTTCTGCCAGGTGTCACCTTCTTGGGATCTACCTGCTGATATCAGTCAGTAGCTCAAAGCAGATGCATCCTTAGCAGCGTCTAAACAAATTTTAATCAGAGAGTTATCCCTGCATGTAAAAACAGTTGTTGTTTTTTACTGAGGAGAATAGTTACATTCTCTAACAAACTAGTTCCTTTTATGATTCTGAAGGTCAGTAGTTTCTGTTGTACTTTGCTGGCACGATGGTGTACGAAGGGAACCTGACATTCAGAAAACCAAGTTATCCTCAAAGCTGGAAGAGATATCTGTATGCGTGAATGGTCCATTGATTTGGTATCTAAGTTAGAGTGACCATCAATTTATATCAAAGGTTGCAGCCAAGTGCTTTCTCTTGTCTTTTCCTAGGTGAACCGGGGATGTGGATGATTTCCGCTGCCAATATTCTACAAATAGACATTGTCACTGGGGTAGGAGTGGCCAGGAGCCCGGGAATAGCAACAGTCTTTCATGACATACCAGGAGTGGTGAGAACGTATCGAGAGGTAAAACCTAACAGTACCAGGGTTGAAGAGACTAGGGTGACTATTTCCATATATGGGGATATGCCTATAGAAAGCACATCCTAGGAAAAGACATTCACTCAAAAAATATTGTATATAAAGCCTGCCAGCAAATTTTTTTGGAACATAAAGCTAAACAGTGATTAGGTTTCATAACCAGAATAATGACTAGTCTGATTTATATTTTAAAATTTCTTTGTGGCTACTAGCTGGTTGGTACCAGACTGCAGGGGCAAGGGTAGAAGCCAAGAGACCATTTGGGAAGCTATTACTGAAGTAGTCCAGGTGAGAGATGACAGTGGACCAGGGTGGTAACAGAGGACATGATGAGAAGGTGATCAGATTCTAAGTATATTTTTAAAGTACAGCCAAGAGAATTTCCTGAAAGATTATATGCAATGAGTATGAGAGCCCCAAGAATGACTTCAGCTTTTTGATTGAATAACTTAAAGGACAGAATTGCCCTCAACTGAAATGGGGAAGACTATAGATGCAACAGTTTTTTTTTTTTGAGAGGGCATCTCTCATATTTATTGATCATATGGTTGTTAACAACAATAAAATTCTGTATAGGGGACTCAACATACAATCATTAAGCAACCACAAGCCTAATTCTCAACAGTCTCCAATCTTCTGAAGCATAACGAACAAGTTTTTACATGGTGAACGAGTTCTTACATAGTGAATAAGTTCTTATATGGTGAACAGTTAAATGCAACAGTTTTGGGGAGAAGAGCAGTCAGTTTTGGACTTGTAAAACTGGATGTCTATTAGATGTCAAATGGATACGTTGGGGTAGCTGGATATAAAAGTCTGGGAGTCATTGGCATAGAAATGATATTAAAACCACTAGATCACAAAGAGAATGAGTGTAAGTAGAGAAAAGGCCTCTTTTAGGACTAAGCTTTGGGGGCACTCCATTACTAAGAGCTCTGGGAGAAGATAACCAACAGGAAGACTTGTAAGAAACCACCAGGTAAGTGGGAGGAAAACCCAGAGATATTGGTGTCCTGGAAGCCAAGTAGAGAAAGTACCAGTTCCCCCTACTATCCCAAAGTAGTGTTCCTGTGAAAGCTTTCATAAGCCAAAATGGCGTACAGTGAAGAAGTGTGCCCTTAATTTATATGGAACAAATTTTGAGTATTCCAAGACCCAGAAAATAAACTCTCTGAGGCCTTTCTGATACCTTAGGACACATCTTGCTAATGGATGCACAACATAAATTGAGATAAAAGCACAGATGCTCACAGATGCAGTTCAAAACTCTGGCAGCCTGATGCTGAGATGCTGAGGAATGAGGGAAGGGGTGGCTTTATGGAGTCTTCTATTTCCTCCTTATTTACATGTAAGGTCTCCTTCCTCCGTATCCAAAGAACTTGTTTGTTTCTCTTTCCAGTCCTCAAATATAACAGCTATTATTTTTTGAGCATCTACTATGGGCTTGGCACTTTACATGTTTTGTTTTGCTTTTGTTTTTATTTTACATCCAGGATAATTGTCATGATTTAAGTATCATCCTGATTTTATAGATAAGTGAATTGCCCAATGCGTGCGCACGTGGTGTCTGATGCCTTCTCCTAAGGAGCTCACAGTCTAGTGGTGTTAGAATTACATAGAAAGGGTATAAATAACTCCAATGTAATTAACCATTGCTTCACTCGTGGTATGTCAGAAATGCTCATAGAATACAGAAGACAGTCACTAATTTCTACCTAGACATAAAGGCTCAATTTTTCAGACATGACATTGAAACTGAGTATTGAAGTTTAAGAGTTAGGCAGAAAAAAAAGAGAAGGCATTTTAGACGAAAGGCATAGATGTGCAATGGCAAATAAAAGTATATGTTGTATTTGAAGACCAGAAGTTTATAAGGGTAGAGAGGGAAAAATTGGATAACAGCTAAAGACAATTTGTACCTTGAGCAGATAAGAGGGTTGAGGACAGAGGTAGCATGAGAAGACAGCTAGGAAAAGAGACTGAGCAGGGTCTAGGTACTAGAAAAGCAAGGGCAAGGGTGCCACAAAAGGCAAGGGAGGGAACGGGCTATGGGGTCAGAGGCTACAAAGTCAGAATACCATTATATTCTAGTTTGTGTACTTTGTGTAATCCTCATTATATTATTCACTAACCAGCAGACACTCACTGAGGCCTCTTATGTGTCAGCCATTGTGCTAGGCTCTGTACTTACAGAGACGAAAAAGACAAAACTTCTTCTGTCAGTGAGCTCTTAATGTAACTAACTTGTTTTTAAGGTCCTTGAGTATTTGAAAAAAAGAAAAAATTCTGCTAGTCCTGAGGAGACTGGACAGTATATTACATTTAGTAAATATTTGGGGGAACAAGGTCATCATCATCCTCTCCTTTATGTAATCAATAAGCACTTGCATTAAATACAAGGCACAGTACAGGATATACAAAGAAAAATCAGGTTTCTAAATTGAAGAACTTGGAATCTAATAAGAGGGATTCTTAACAAGTATAAAAATACCTACAATATGAGGCTGAACATTACATTGAGAGAAACAAAGTTTGAAATCTCACAAAAAGGTTGAGATTGTATGCAACTAAAGAGAAAAAATTTTCTAAAGAAAGTTGCAATTGTCTTCAAAGGCATAACAGAGTCATACAAAGGGAAGATATGACAGAAGAAATAATGGACAAAATCCTCCTTTTAGAAGAAAATGTTTTCTTCTCAAAGGTGAACACATTTTGTGGCTCAAAATATGTAATCAACCAAAAGGGCAATGTTTGTGTGAAACAAATCCTTTTGGTAAGTTATGAGGGGTGGAGAGAGAGAGAGAACCAGATTCCCTAAGAACTTAGAGATTTTCCTTTGGTTTGCTGACAGGTGAAGGTCAACGCATCATCAAGATTAACACTCAGTTATGACCTCAAGACTTACCTCACCAATGCCCCCGATTCAACGGAGTTCAAGTTCTTCATCACCACTGGCAGAAATGGTGTCAATCTTAAAGGTTGGGAATCTCTTTATAGGTCTGGGCAGTTGTTTCCATCTTTCCCATAGTTTCATTTCATTTCATTTACCCCTTTAGGTTAGTAATCCAAGTTCCCTTTTATTTCAAAATGACTCCACCTTAACAAGTAAATTGTTGAGAGATATGGCCTCAGAAATGACTGGATGAAGAGTTTGAAATAGGCTCAACCTAATTTCATTGGTTTTCTAGTTATAACCCTGCCTGAGAACAGGAGGTGGTGGGATTTCCAAACGTGGCTGATTTTCACGGTTACCCAAGGACATTAAAAAACAAACAAACAAACAGATTCTTAGGCTCCATCCAGAGATTTAATAAGTTTGGGACTGGGCCTAGCATACAATTCTTTTACAGCCTCCCCACATTTGTGAATTATTGGACTAGGTGACACCTGAAATGTTATTTGCTCAACAGATTTACTTAGTGTTGTTCTGTATTGGACTGTGATTAACTGTCAAAAAAAGGAGGGAGACTTTTCCTTTACAAGCACTTAATAGATTCTAGAAGCCAGGTTAGGAATTTTTATATATTTTATATCATTAAATCTTATCATGTAGCAATTATTCTCATTTTAAAGATGAGAAAATTGAGTCTCAGAGCACATGAAGTGCACAAGGTAACAAGCAGTTAGGGGCATAGTGGTGGATAATGTCCCACTCCAAAGCCCATGTTACATCCTTCCATTGCTTTTTTTTTAAAATTTTTTATTAAGGTATAATTGATATACACTCTTATGAAGGTTTCACATGAAAAAACAATGTGGTTACTACATTTACGCATATTATCAAGTCCCCACCCAAACCCCAATGCAGGCACTGTCCATCAGTGCAGCAAGTTTTTCATTGCTTTTTTTTTAAAGAAAACAAATTCCACATTTTATTTATTTAATGTTTCTTCATAGCATTAACTCATAGTTGTCTACCTTATGACTTTTACAAATAGATTGCAATTTTTTCCCCCAGGATCCTTATTTTATTTTAAAACCACAACTTGTTCTTTATGAAACCTCATGAAACAGTTCCTTTGATATTGCCAATAGTCTCAAAAGATGAAAAGGATTCCTGGACTGCCAGCAATTGAGAAAGAGCTTCAACAAACTGAGACCATTAAGAAACTGCAGGGGAAAATCTTGGTAACAGGACCTATTTAGAATGCCATCCATTGCAGCTGACCTGTCCACGGCACCAATCCATTTCTTGCAGGCTAAATGGCTGCTGTTTAAGGCACCACTTGTAGTGAAGTTTTACAGATCTTTGACTTGACTCGTACTCCAATTGGTCATGGAAAACAAACCTTCCTAGACTTAAAAGCTACCTCTCAACTATAGTACTTTATGTTTAATAACTGTCCAATTTCTCTATAATGTTTTGTTCCCATTCATGAATTCCAAAAACCTTTGAAAGAGGCCACCACCTATGATACTGATAATGAAAGCTCCACTAAAGTTATTCATAAACTACCAGAGGCAAGGGTCTTTGTCTATTCTCGCACAGATTGTAGCAGGAGCCAACAGAGATGGGCAAACCAGGCAGAAATGACCCTCTTTTTTGTTTCCGGTGTTTTGTTTTTTCTAATACCAAACTGCCTCAATATAATGGACTCCTCTTTTTAGTGACAGTTATCTACTTCTTTTTACTTATTAGGCTCCTGCACCCCAAGTCAGGCCTTGGCCGTCACAACACTTCTTCCAGAGACTTTCATGTTGTGCCATGTACAGTTCAGTAACACACAGCTGAACATTCCAGCAAGTGAAGTCTTTCATGTCCAGTCAGATTTCAGCATGGGGAAAGGTGGGTTCCTCCAGTTCAATCTGTTTTCCTCCTGGTTTTCTTACTTGTACAGTTGTCACTTTCTTACTGGATTGCATTTATGCTTCCCAGTTCCATTTGCTGTGTAATTATGCATCTTTCTCAATCAATGTTGTTTAATCCATTCAACAAAATTTTAACATATTTGTATAATGCCCTGTGCTGTTCTAATTTACTATTTCCTTGTTAGTCCTTATATCTGTGGGGGCTTGGATTATGTCTTGTCTCTTATCCCTGGCAAGTGACGTCGTGTTTGAATGTTTGTTGTTAAACTGAAGGATATTCCAAGCTGAACAGTATTAGCAAGCAGGAAGTAGAAATAGGCATGCCATTGGGATAACTTGATACAAACCAACTGATCTAAAATGAGAGGATCCAAGTCAAAGGTATGACATAAATAGGATAGTACTACATAATGAGGGAGCTTCTACTCCAGTATCAGGCAGTTTGAATGGTAGGGGTAATGCGCAGCCACTAAAGGTTGGTTCATTCAGCAAACTGTTGAGCATCAAATAGAATGCCCGGTACTAAGACAGGCACTGGAGGTACGAAGACAACTAAGATGAGGCTTTTAACTCTTACTAGAACTGCACAGGGTAACTAGGTACAGAGATATACCTGGGATGCTATGGTGGCAAAAAGGAGTATCTACATCAAATTTGGGGGTTAAAGTAAGGCTTTATAGAGGAACTACCCTTTAGAAGTATGACTAGGCGTTAGCTCGATGTGAAGAGAAAAGGGCATTCCAGGCAATATATAGCCCTGGAGTTTTCAAAAATAAGATAAAAGCAGTTCCAGTACATAGATAAGAAAGAATGGGAAGGAAGGAGACTAGTGAGGGGCCACTGCAATAATCCAAGCATGAATTAATGAGGGTCTAGACTAGAGAGTGTAACAGGGAAATATTAACAGAGGAGGCAGATGTCACAGACATTTCAAAGGATAAGTTAGCAAGATTTGGAGAATGACTAGATATAGGAATGAAGGAAAGGGTGGTAAGAGACAGCTAAGGTTTGAGCGTGGGTAACTGGAAGTATTCTACTGTTGACAGAAATAAAGCCGCCAAGAGGTAATTTGACAGAGAATGTTTAAACCATGCTCAAAGCTTATCTTTCTTTCATAAACCCTTTCCTGGTCTCACCAACTCTGACTACTTAATTCCATATCCCCTTAATTTCCCTATTTATGCTATATTGTTTAATAATCCATTGCTTGATTTACTAGTAATGATTTTTAAAATTTTTAATTGAGGTATAGTTGACATACAATATTAGTTTCAGGTGTACAACATAGTGATTTGTTTTTATTGAAGTACTGTTGATATACAATCTCATATTGGTTTCAGATGTACAACACAGTGGTTTAAGTTACCCATATTATTAAATCCTCAGCCCAACTAGTGCAGTTACTGTCTGTCAACATAGAAAGACATTACAGAATCATTGACTATATTCTCCATGCTGTACTACTATCCCCATGACCAACTTATAATTGAGAATTTTTCTGTCCTTTTATCCCCCTCACCCCAACCTCTTTCTTCCCCATGATAACTACCAGTCACTTCTCAGTGTCTGTGAGTCTACTGCTCTTTAGTTCACTGTTTTGCTTTGTTTTTATATTCCACAAATAAGTGAAATCATACAGTATTTGTCTTTCTCCACCTGGCTTATTTCACTGAGCATAATACCCTCTAGGTCCATCCAACATCATGATTTGACATTTATATATATTACAAAATGCTCACCACTTTTTTTTTTGACCTTAACTATAATGTAAATCTTTACCTCACAAAAACATATTAAAGGGTATATATGTTCCTAAATCACAGAAAACATTTTTTTTGAGAGGTATCATATTTATTGATCAAATGGTTGTTAACAACAATAAAATTCTGTATAGGGGAGTCAATGCTCAATGCACAATCATTAATCCATCTCAAGCCTAATTCTCGTCAGTCTTCAATCTTCTGAAGCATAACGAACAAGTTCTTACATGGTGAATGAATTCTTACATAGTGAATAAGTTCTTACATGGTGAACAGTACAAGGGCATTCATCACAGAAACTTTCGGTTTTGATCACGCATTATGAACTATAAACAATCAGGTCAAATATGAATATTCATTTGATTTTTATACTTGATTTATATGTGGATCCCACATTTCTCCC